GCTTATGAGTGCTTTTTTTTTCAGAAAATCTATTGTCAAATTACTGCTGCCCATAGAGGGCCTTTTTCAGGCAAAGTGAACAAATAATTCCACATGAATTATTGGAAATAATACCTCAGAAGGTTGAAGTAACAACAATTTGGTTTGAACCTAAAAGACTAAAGCTTACAGTTTATTGGGAGGAGGTGTCCTTAAGTGACACCTTCAGTCCCATTCTCTCCTCAGATACCAATACCTTTTATAAGACCAAACTCTAACCTTAACCTCAGCAGGTTCCCTTTTCTCCTAAATGTTAGCTACGTGGGCTCGTTACCTGATCCTAATTTAATCCCCCTCATCCCCTGAAGAATAAGGACACTTACTTTCTAGGATTCCTACCCAGCCCATCCCCAGGAAGATTAATTAAATTTTCAGTTATCATTGTTCATGTATGATTAAAAGTGTCTATTATTAGAACATGTCTGGCAGCAGAGCAACTGCCCACTTTTTGCATAATAGGCTATTAATTAATACCCTCACTCCACAGGCAGCGAGGCTGGAGATGTAATCTGTATCCAGCCTGCGGGAGGTTAAACTCTTGTCTCCCGTGCTGCAGCGTGCCCTAAGCAAGAAGCTACAGCTCATTCAGAGAGAGGCTGACCAGTCTGGGTCCACCACGGAGCTGGAGCCTGGCACTGATATCCCTGGCACAGCACTGTGCTCATAGCAAGTATTAACAATCTTGGGAGCTTCATTTTGTCCAGCTATTTAGAAAGGATGAAATGAAAAAATCCAGTGTAGACTGGATAGGCTACTGTTTCTGCCTAGTACTATTCTTGTTAATATACACAGTATAGCAGGTTCTGATACCCTGTAAAATGCATTATTCTCTGTAGTTGTAATGCCTTTTGTCCTTTCTAGGGACATTAACTAGTTTTTCATCTAATTTTGTCCCAGATTGGAATGGGAAAAATGATTGTCATGGTGACAAACCTGAAATAGGACCTTGGCATTATACCGTAACATATGCCTACTGCTCTCTAACTTGCTGTCAGTGGCTGGTGGAGTTATTGGCCGCCTTCAGCAGTGGACAGGACGAGAAAAGCTGAAAGCAGAGCCTGTGAGACATCTTGTTTTAGTCGCTGTTCTTTTGCTACACTGTCAAGGCCAGGAGGGTATGGTGGTTTTTTGATATGTTTTTGACAAACGTGATTCCACGTTCACTGAAATGCAAGCACTAATGCATTTCAGAGGGAATGCTCTTAACCTGCAGTCAGTTTGACTGAGGGTGGAATAAAGTTCTGTGCTTTGGTCTGCATTTCAGACACAGAAAGGGCGTGTGGGTTGGAAGCGCTTCTTTTAGTACTGTCATGTTGTCTCTTCATAAAAATTAATTACTGAGATATTGGTTTACTTGATTTTGTATTGGTAAAGGCTTCGTATCCTTTTTATATTTAATCATGTCCTATTAGTACTAATGTCTTACCTACATAGCAGTTTCTGTGGTTTATCTAATGCAGACTCGGTTAAGAATGAGGTAGATACATTGAGCTGTTACAGGTTTTTGTGAAACAAATGACAGGCATTTTTCTAAGAAAAGAATGATAATTCCACCTTCGCACCACACCATGCACCGGAAATATTTAATGCATCCACAAAAGGATCGTAGTGGATCCAGCTTTACCCCCTTTTTTTTTCAAATGAAGTCTGAAGCTCCATCCAAAACATGGAATAGACCATGTGTAAAGGTGAAAGAGAGCATTTGTTAGTGGAATGGATGAATTATCATATCTTGTTTATTTCTGATGGAGCCAATAGAATTACATTTTTATTCAGAGCTAAAATTTTTGCTTTCTAAATGAAAATGTGCAGGTAGAATCTGTGTACGGAGGACTCAAGCCTGATGTGACTCTTGAATTAATTTGACAGAGGATTCATTTAGTTGTCAGGTTTAGGATTCACATTAGAAACATTTCAGCAAAGGGAGGTGAAAGGGTTTCCTATTTTATCTTACTAAAGACAGCGTATTCTGAATGCTAGTTATGAGTACTGTAAAAACTTGGGCTTGAAATGCAGTAAGTCCCGTGATTATGGTAATTTATTATTGAGAGGGCTTGCATTCAATGTGGATTAGTCAGTGGCTATGGCTTTATTTATAAATAGGCTCAAATTACTTAAGCACATGCTGGTTCTCTGGTGGTACGGGATAAGAGGTGAGCACTGCCAAGCAGTGATTCCACGCTGTGATTCCGTGCTGTGGTTCAGGAATGGCATTTTTTTTTTTACTCAGAACAAAGAAACGAGCTTTGGTATTGTTGGAATAGAAAACCAATGTTAAAAGCCAAAATATGTCATGAAGAAGTCTGTATTCGTTTTAGTAGCTGTTGCTATTATTATTGTTGTTGACAGCAAGATGAAATCTTTTTCAAAGTGGTCGATTATAGGTATTTTAGCTGACCATTTTTGGCAAGATCTTCATGTAGAATCCGTTTTGAAACGTGGCCATGGTCTTATCAGAACATCTGTTTGCATAACATATATCTCATAAGTAAGATGCATGTTTTTTTAAAACAAAAAGCCTGAATCATCCTCCCTACCTTTATTTTTAAGCTAAACACTTACAGCACAAATATAAACCGCTTCTGCAAATGCAAGCTAAGCCTGTTGCTCTGTAGCCTTTGCAGCCCTTTTCCTCTCCCTTCCCTTTCTTTCCACCCGCCTACCTTCCTCTTACTCCTACTTCCCCAGGTGCTGGGATACTACAGAAAGCTCCGTGGGTTTCAAATATTCAACCTCACCCCGGCTTTCAAAAGATGAATTGGGAAAATTTGAAAGAGGCTAATAATAAAGGGTGTTACTAAAGGCCATTTTTTAGTCCCAAGGTGCTAAGCAGTCTATAGTGGTTACGGTCCCATTAGGGGCTGATATTTTTCAAAGCAAATAAATTGTAAAAAGTAACATAGAAGTACCTTGTTAACTAACCCATGCTCAGGTGACCTGAACATGCAAATTTCACACTCTGAACTGTACTAACAAATTACTTATTCTCTTTCGTGTCTTAATGTTCACTGGAAATGTTATTTTAATTAACTTTTATTTAACTGTTAAAATATAGATATTGATTTATAGGTGACTCCTACCTTCCCTCTACTCTGTTGTCTATGGTATGTAACTGTTTAGCAAGAGTACCACTTTCTTCATTAAACTCAGAAGCGTTTACTGTTTTGTTTCTTTATCACAAGGTGACAGACCCCTTACAGTGTACACCTGAGATTTCTTGCAGCTTGGGGAAAGAACCAGTCAGTAACCTTGTAAACTTAATGTGACTAATAGGTGGGTTCAGCGGGCGTGTCCCAGCTGGGGTTTTCCTGTTTGGGGTAGTTTTTCCTTTTGGTGCTACTCTCCCTTACTTTTTGAAGGATAGTGGATTTTTTTTTGTTACTTGTAGTATTTTGGATATAAAACCCAGCCAAGTAAGTCCAGCTTATTTTTTGCTTTCACTTGTTCTGTCTTTTAAACAAGATTAGGGAAAATTTTCAGAATAAAAGGAAACTCAAATCAGTGTTGTTTCATCTGCCCAGTCTCATGGGACTCACAGTGACGTAGGAATACAGGAAAGATTTTAGAGTTATTAGTTGCTTCAGAGCTACGGACGTGTGAATCTCAGCCATTTGTGTCTCGTTCATGCAGGGTCCGTAGATAATTTCACACATTTAAACAAATTATTCTAACCTGAAATGCCATGGAGAGAACGCTTGCTCATTCCGTACTGTCCAAGGTGAACCAGTCCATTTGTTTCTAATGAGGGGTGGGTAAATGAGTCCCATGCTGATATATGGGTGGAAAACTGTGTCTCATGTCTTAAGGAGAGAGAGAAGACTAAATAGAAAAAGTATTTTTGATATTTTCTGTCTATTAATGTAAAGATGTGTACAGTAGCTCTTCATAATCAGTGAGTTTTGAACTGAAGATATCTCATTGCTTTTAATTCAAACAAGTAGTCCTTAAGTCCTAAGATTCACCTTCAAAGTATTTTTTTTAGTTCATCAAAAATTACAATTCTATAAGCTAATACAAATTTTAAAAAACCAAAAGTTACGCCTCTCTAGAAATCTGCTGGGACAATGTGACTGTTTCTACAAATACTGACTACAATTCTATATATAGATCATCCAGTCTTTGGTCAGTGCCAGTCATCTTTATGCTTTAAAGCAAAAGAAGGCAGATCTCTACCTTGTTTAACCTGTCAGTGTTCTAGGGCTAACATCACTCCCTGGTGTCACTCTGCTGTGAAAAACCATCAGATGGGATTTGAATGGGAAAATTGATCTACTTCCAAACGTCATTTCTCTGAACAATAAAGGTCTACAGGTCACTCCCACCCTGAAAAGTGATCATGGACAGAGCTGGATTTATTTTAGGAGCAGGAAAGATCTCTGACATACAGAAGAAAAGCGTTTGTTTTTACCAGTACTATATCTGTGTTTTACAAAAGGAGAAATAAATTACCCTGGTTAAGGAAGCCTGGAGGAGAGTCAGCGTGGTATAATATCCCACTGCTCCATCCACTGAAAGGGCTGATTTTATCCCCAAGCTGCAAGAAAGTGAACAATTCTTTGTAATTGAGCTGTGGAGCTCATGAAAGAGAGGGACATTTTTACTAAAGGACTGATGCATTATCCTGTTTTCTAATAACATTGCTTTATGATACTGCTTCACTAAAATGCTGTGTTTTAAGAAGAGGCATTATGAGCCAGAGTGTACAAAAACTGTACTGATTTTCCTTCCTTGCTATAGAAAGCAGAAATGTTAGCAGAATGGCAGTGCAGTATAATTGTGTATTTTAAAAAAACACATCAGAATGGAGTTACACACGGTGAAGCTGGATATAATGTTACATAGAGCTGAGTAATCTTGCCATTCATATTGCAGCTACCTTTTGACTTTGTGCATTTTGCTTTTCTGTTTCTTAGATGCACAGCCCACAGAAGGAGAAAGGGAGGTATGGAATCAGATCAGTGCAGTTTTGCAGGACTCGGAAAGTATGCTTGCAGACCTTCAGGCTTACAAAGGAGCTGGACAAGAAATTAGAGATGTATGTTTGTTGAAGTTAATGACAGTTTTTTGGAAGCAAAATCAAGTAAAACTCAATGTGTTCCTTGCTTCCAAGCACATTCTGTGCAATGATATGAAAATCTTGATTAAAATTGTATTTAGAAAATATATTACGGATTATGTGTAATGTTGAACATAAAGCCTTAATGCGAAATCCTTAAATGATGGCTGTTGGAACTTCTTTTAGGTTCGCTGTTAGTAATTAGTAATTATTTTTCTCTTTAAGAAACACCATTTCATATACCTCATTTCATTTATCTCGTTAGAAGTCAAACTTGAGGATATGGAAGAAATAATACTCAGATGTCAGAAATACCCTATAAAAAAAGTTGAAAATAGTTGTTCTTCTGTGTAAATGAAATAATGAACCACAGTAAATTATAACCTTACATCCAATTTACAGGCGTCTTATTGTATGAAACTGGTCCCAAAGTACAATTCTGAACTGTAAGTTAAAATTTTTCTCAGCTGACCAAACCTTTTCCTGCGCCAACTTCGCAGTTGTTGTTAGCATGAGCTGTTGGTTACTTAAGAACCTGCGTATGTTGGAAGATTTCGAAAGCATCAAAATGTTTAAAAAAAAAAAAAAAAAAAAAAGGCTATTTCTGCAACTATTAGTCATACAAAAGGTCTTACCTTTGCTTCGACAATAGTTTTGCTCCTCAAATAATATGTTAAAATATATTTCTGTATGTCAGTGGTGGATTGGAATGAATAATTTTAAATCAGTATGTTACAGGGGAGAGGGAAGGTGGAAAAGATGGTATTTTTTGGATTTACTAATTTCCTATTCCTGTGCAATGTCATTTGTTGTAATTGTTCTATGTTTTACAATACTGACTTTCTAAAATAATGTAGTAGAAAAATTCCAAGCCACCTTTTGGTTGTTATTCATATATCATAGTTCTTTATAGTAATATTTTCATTTCAGGCAATACAAAATCCCAATGATATCCAGTTGCAAGAAAGAGCATGGAATTCAGTATGTCCTCTGGTTGTAAGGCTGAAGCGCTTTTATGAGTTTTCACTCAGATTAGGTGAGCCCTGTTTTAGTAAGTCTGTTTATTAAGCTACTTTTATATATAAAGGAAATAGGGAGTTTCTTTTTCCATGGACTTTTAAAGGCTCATTATTCTTTCTGCTTCATATCAACGGACATTTAACTGCAATTACATTTATCAAGGCATATTTTTAACCTTAATTTCGTTTCAAAATTATCATAGTTTGTTAGTTTGTCACTTAAAATAGATCTGTATTATCTAAATAGAGTCCAAGCAAAGAACGTGATAAAACTGTATAAAGTTTTTCTCTGGTGCCTGCCGCTCTTCTGCACTTCACTGCTCCGTGTTGCACTAAAGCAATTTATTTTTTGTAGTTTGGATCCTCCAGAGTTTTAAAAGGAATGTAAACCAATAATATTTTGAAAATTCTTAGAAACAGGAATAACAGGGGGAGAAGGGTATCAATAGACTTCCTCAGAGGGTGAAAATCCAAAGTTGGGCATGTTTTACACTGACTGTCATCCCCACAAACCCCAAAAACGTTGTAATTACTCCTTGAATTAGGACTCTGGAAGAGAACCAGTGTGCAAAAATGTATGTATGAAGTGGGAGAGGCCCTGATGCAAGGGAATTCTTCTACAACCTCCTGCTTACTAGATCTTTCACTTTTGGAGTTATGCTAGTAATTATAGCCACGGGAGCTGAATTACATTGCTACCAGTGCCTAAGAGTATGCTTTTAGTAACAGAGATGCCGGAATAATCACTGTACTGAGCTGACGGCTAATTGGGGAAGATGAAAGAGTTGAATATCTGAATGCAAGAAAAATACTTCCTCTAGAATTTTCAATAGGGAACCCAGATAAAGGGTGATAAAAAGGGAAAAGAGCTCAGCGGTACAAAATGGAGAGAAAATGGCAGAGCGCCTGGAGAGGCAGGTGTCTGACTAATGTTTCTCACCTTAGAAAAGTAAGAAAATCCATTTCTGTTAGGGCTCTGCATGTTCAGAGGGTTCCTTCCCTTGGAACAAAGTATGTTTAGGTACTTACTTAAAACTTTGTCATAATATGGACTGAATAGAATTTTGCTTCTGATTTTCTTTCAGAGAAAGCCCTGCAGAGCTTATTGGAGTCCTTGACGTGCCCACCTTATACTCCAACTCAGCACCTGGAACGGGAACAGGCTCTAGCGAAAGAGTTTGCAGAAATCTTACATTTTACTCTTCGTTTTGATGAACTTAAGGTTAATAAAGTCTTTTAATACACGCTGATTTTTTTCCATATATTTTGAACCGAAATTGATTTATTGCCTCTTTGTGTTCCTCGAAGATGAGAAACCCAGCAATTCAGAATGACTTCAGTTATTATAGGCGGACAATAAGTCGAAACAGAATAAACAACATGCATGTAAGTAAATAAAACCTGATCTGCTGTTCACACTGAGGTATTTATCAGTATGCATATATGCCATTTGGGATAATGATTCTTCTTTTCACTCGCTAGCTGTCATGTTCTCCCTTCACACTGAGAGTTAATCAGCAGTCTGGATGAAGCAATTAGAGTGGAACTATTTGTGCAACAATCTGCTTGCTGACATGAGCTTGTACTGTATCTTTTTCTTGCTGCTAGCGAGATTTTTAAGGAGTTCTACTGACTATTTTTTCTCATGTTTCCACCAGCTAGACATTGAGAATGAAGTAAACAATGAAATGGCCAATAGGATGTCCCTGTTTTATGCAGAAGCCACACCAATGCTGAAAACACTCAGTAATGCAACTACACATTTTGTATCAGAAGTAGGTAACAGGGGAGAAAAGGTCTAACACAGACGTCCTTGATTTTCATTTTACAAGATGATTTACTGAACATTGCCTGTTTTTAACCCTTCTAGAACAAAACGTTACCAATTGAAAATACAACGGACTGTCTAAGTACTATGGCTAGTGTATGTAAAGTCATGTTGGAAACACCGTAAGTTTTACCCTAAATCTTGTTTTTCTTCTATGAGAGAAATTGTGTTCTATTTTTGTTGTAGCCACCTGGGGTAAACAGTTTTTTTCCAAATGAATTCCTGTATGTTTGCCTTAAGTTGTTACCGCTTTTGTATACAAAGCATGACCTGGTATTAGAAAACTTTGCCTCCTATTTTAACCACCTTAGGATATTTTTCAAAGACATTTGTTAGGCAGAGCTTACACAACCAGCCTGCATTTCAACGAAAGGTTAAAATACAAGTGTAATCTTAAGCTCATGGGCTTCAGTGTCTGTATCTTATCTAACCAGGGCCATAGGCCACCTACTTTCTCTTGATTGCCCATGCTGCTCAATTATTGGCACACTTAGGGGAAAGATTTTGGCTCTTTCAAGTAGTGCTTTCGCAAATGACACACAGGGACTATTTTGAGGATCATTTGAGTAGATCTTGGATGCTACCATCTTATTCTGGGTATGAGAAAGTTCAGCTGTATGAAAACTGTACAATTGTACTCCTATCCACTAGCAAAGATAGAGCCAGTGGGGTTGCTATTGTTTAGCTATGCATTTAATTGAGCATTTTTTAGGTTAGAGGTCTCTTTGAGTGGAAAACACGTACAAGATAGAGTCAAGGTAGTCTTCCTGTCTTTGATGTTTTTCTGTGATGCCATGGAAAGGGTAGAAATCCTGAGGTTATTGTCTTTGTTTATGGAAATTTGGGAGAAGTGTACGTAGGAGGTGGGACTCATGTCACGATCATCGGACATAACAGAAATAGTAGCTGAAAAGTAACCTTATGTGTTTTATATTGAAAATCAATGAATGACAGTAGTCAAATCTATGAATTACCTACTCAAAATAATATTTTTTAGAAAAATTGTGATAATTTCTGTTCTTCAGGATTTCTGTTTTTCTTTACTGTAGTTCATTTTTTGTTTCCTGACAATGGTTTCAGGGATTAGAGCCGCTAGGGGCTGTCTTAAATGTGTCATCCAGATTCTTATTTTGAAATTGAAAAGAAAAACTCTTTGGAATTAGCTCAATGCAGTCCTATTTAGTAGGCCTCTGCATTTTAGACGTTTAGTGAACCTGGATTGTTGAAGTTTTGTATGGACTTGGGGGAGAGAGT